CCACTTATCTACATGCAAAACAACAGAACGTGGAACTTATTTAATCAAACATAATTCTCATTCATCAAGGAATAACAAGTGAAATATCCACTAAAGCAAAGCTTAAGTATTGGCACTAAAACATAGTTTCACCTTTTCCTCCTCTTCCAGGAACTATATGCACTTAGGATCCCATTGTTTGAGGAGCAAGTATTGCTGTATTGTCGAAATTCCAAGTTTTTCCTTGGAGGATCTTTTCTTTGTCTTCTTCGCACTGGAAGATAAACTGATACATATTGGCTCCCAAGCTTCTCGCTGTGAATGGCAACCTAGTTACCTAGATGCCTCATAGGGTCCTCTTAAAATCACCTAGATTCACTCTCTTCTCCAGAAGATATTCTGTATTAGACTTAATTGGCAATTTTGCACTCCAATTGATATATCTTCATCTGACAAAGTAATCCATTTTTCCTCCCGGTCCGATAGCACAAACCGCTGCAGTTTTTCTACCACCTCTTCCTCCATTGAAACCACAACTTTTTCGCCTTTTGCCCCCTGAAAGTGCCACATAATAAAGAAAGAAAATGAGAAGGAGAACCAAACTAGAGTTAACAGAAAAACAAAGAACACACCAAAAAAGCACAAAGCACAACAATAAAATGAAAAACCAACAAAGAGAGTAACAGACAACCAAACACACAGACACAATATGAAGAAGAGCAAATCCTAAAGAATGAATCTAGTGACCAAATCCTAAGAGGAGGGGCCTTTCTTTTTAATTTCAAACCTTGAATTTGATCCAATAGTACATCAGCTCACAGTAATGCTAAGGAGCCAACTGTTGGCTCCGTAAAACAACCAATGGAACAACTCCATGTGGGGCTGTCCCACATTGGAGCCATGTGGGACAGTCCCACATAGAGCTGTCCCATTGGCTGTTGGCTCCATAACTGAGCCAACAATTGGCTCCTTAGCATTATTGCATCTAGCTCCGTTATGGAGCCAACAGCCAATGGGACAACTCCATGTAGGGTTGTCCCACATTGGAGCCATGTGGGACAGTCCCACATGGAGCTGTCCCATTGGCTGTTGGCTCCATAAGAGCACCTATAATATTTTTGGTCTCTTTTTGCATATATGACAAATAAATAGACTTAAGTCCATAATGACATGGACAAACCCAAGCTAAAAAATTCAAAATCTATTCAATGCAAAACAACAAAGTACTAGGTTTAGAATACTAAACAACCAATAAAAATATAGTAATAATAAATGCATACAAAAAAAATGTGTTTTGCCTATTAAAAATAAAAGGAAAATTATGAACAATTAATGACTAGGTGGGTTTGCACTTGGGTCCAAAATAGACCCAAGTGTGAGCTTAGTCTCTTTTTTCTAGTGTCGCATAAGTTAGACTAGGTCCACTTTTAATTGTATTATGAAACATTTTGTAATAGACTAGGTCTATTTCTTACATGACATGTGATTTTTCTTTAAGAGACCCAAAGCATTGTGAATGCTCCAACGGAGCCAACAATTAGCTCCTTGACATTATTGCATGAGCTCATACATGTACTTTAGTTAAACTCCCCAACTACATTGCACCGAAAAAAAAAAAAAAAAAAACTCCCCAACTATGCAAAATTGTTGCACGTGTAAACTCTCTCACGCGAATTACAGCGCAGTAAGAAAACGAAAACCCGTTCTAAGCACAACGTACAACCACTCTAAGCACAAGCCGGCGGCCATTCTCCTCCTAGGGTTTTACGAGGGCACAGGCGGCGCAACCTTTTTCCATTTTCCCCGATACGCTCCATATCCCATCACAAATGGCCGAAAACACATCGTTTCAACCCCAGGAAGAACAGCCTGACTCCAAAAGGCAAAAGATGTCCACCACCACCACCTCCGTCAACGACGAACAGAATCCTGAAACGATCCCCCGGAAGCCCAAATACAAGCGCCGCAAGGTCGCAATTTTCTTCGCCTACTGCGGTGTGGGCTACCAGGGGATGCAGAAGAACCCCGGCGCGAAGACCATCGAAGGCGACCTCGAGGAGGCCCTCTATCTGTCCGGAGCCGTCCCCGAACCGGACAGGGGCCAGCCGAGGCGCTACGACTGGGCCCGTTCCGCCCGCACCGACAAGGGCGTCAGCGCCGTCGGCCAGGTTGTGTCGGGCCGGTTCTACGTCGATCCGCCCGGTTTCGTCGAGCGGCTGAACTCGAACTTGTCCCCGCAGATTCGAATTTTTGGGTACAAGCGGGCCACGCCATCGTTCAACGCCAAGAAGTTCTGCGACCGACGGAGGTACGTTTATCTGATCCCGGTTTTCGCGCTCGATCCGTCTTGTCATAGGGATAGGGAGAGTGTGTTGGCCAGCGTGGGGTCTGGGAACGAACTGGTGAAGTGTTTGGAGTGTTCGGAAAGAGGGAGGAAGGTTTTTGGGGTGATGGGTAAACGTAGTTATGAGTCCAAAGGTGCTTCTGAGAATGCTGATGTTGGTTCAGGCATTTCATCAAACGGCGCGAGTTCTTTAGATGAAGAGAAATCTGTTAAAAATTCCTTGGAGAACAATGATTCTGAAAATAATTCAACTATCAAAACTGTGGAGGATAAAGCTGTGTTTATTGGTAACAGTAACAATATGATAAGCTCTTTGGAAAAAGTGGTCGATGGTGCTGAAATTGGGAAGGCAGTGGAAGAGGGAGATGAATTGGAATGCAAAAGGACTACTAACGACCAAGCGAAAATAGAAAATAAGAGCGAGTTCAGGTATGGAGAAGGGGAGAAGGAGAGGTTTAACAGAATACTCAAGTATTATGAGGGGACACATAACTTCCACAATTTCACCACACGAACGAAAGCTGAAGACCCCGCCGCCAAGAGGTACATTCTGTCGTTCAACGGGAATAACATAGTCAGCATTGATGGATTTGACTTTGTCAAGTGTGAGGTCGTGGGACAGAGCTTCATGCTTCACCAAATACGTAAAATGATAGGTCTTGCTGTGGCCATTATGAGGAATATTGCTCCCGAGTCGTTAATTCAAACAGCTTTTGATCCGTAAGCATCTTTTTTCTTTTTTCATTACTGAAGTGATGTGTACTTTGTGTGTGATATATTATGTTTTCTAACATTGGTTATTGAATTCAGGAAGGCGAATATAAATGTGCCTATGGCGCCAGAGGTGGGGTTGTACTTGGACGAGTGTTTCTTCTCATCGTATAATCAGAAGTGGAAGGACAGCCATGAAGAGCTGTCCATGAGGGATTATGCGGTGGAGGCTGAAGATTTCAAGATGAAGTACATTTATTCTCATGTTGCCTCAACCGAGCACAAGGATGGGTCAGTAGCACTTTGGCTGCATTCATTGAACTACCGCAATTATCCAGATTTACGGTTTACAGCAAATGATGGCCCGAGTTGTGATGGGCAGGAGGGGAATGAGGCTGATGGTTGTAAGGTACCTTGTGTGAAGCATGAGGAAGTTAAGGACGTGGATGGGTGAGTTCGAGTTAAGTGTTCTGGATTATCATGATTTCAGTATTAAAAAATTAACAAAAAACAAAACTTGGTACAAAATTTTGTGTTGGTCTTAAAGAATACTTCTATGATGCCCAAAACCTGGTTCAAAATTTGGTGATGGCCTTGGAGAATCATTTTAGGACGCATGTTGTTGGATATGTTATGGTCTGTCTAATTTACTGTGAAATTTGCTGATAGCATTTTCCATACAATTCTCGTTGGGTCGTGTGGCTGGCATTTACGTCTAACATGGTTTGCCTTGTTCTAGAAAGAAAATCCTTGTCAACGGTGTGTCGGATATGGGATTGTACTGGTTGTGCACGATAGAATCATCGATTTTGAATTCTTATCTTGAATATCTTCCATTTTGATTCCTCCATAATTTGCTTCAAAACAGAGTATGGAATTAGTTCTTAGATATAATATTTAGATGATCTACAGTGCTTTGGGACTAATTTTACTTGTGTGACATGTAAATAGACCAAAGTCTTGGATGACATAAACAGAACTATCTAAAAATATTAAAATTCATTCCAATGCAAAAACGTTTTGCTTAGTACTTTATGTAATATTTTTTAATATAAACATTAGTAATTAAATGTTCAGTTAATTTTAGATATTCAAACACTTAGATAAATAATGTATACGTCTTTATGTAATATTTTTTAATATGAACATTAGTAGTTAAATATTCAGTTAATTTTAGATATTCAAACACTTAGATAAATAATGTATACGTATACATTATGGTTACATATATATTGTTTATTATTAAAACTATTTTTAAATCGTTATTTTTTTAAATAAATAATATGGAGTGGTCCAACTAGTAGGATCTAATAGGTTCTTATCGGTTGTTGGCAACAATTCATTCTAGCAAACTGGACCAGTCAACAGATTGGTTCAATTAGTATGACTGTCCAGCTCTGGTTTTGAAAACAATGTGTGGTATAAATAACATTTGGGCTTTTGATTAATTTTCATTAATATTTTTTATAAATAAAATATTAGTTGTGTTTGGTGGTCGGGGCTGAGGTAAGCCTCTCTCCCCTCTTTTTGCCGTCTCCTTCGGTTTGGTAGTCTGGGCTTGGACGGTTGGTTAGTCATGGGTTGTTGGTGGCTAGGAGGTCGATCGGTTGATTGGTGAATTGGTCAATTGGGTTTGAGGGCGAGGACGGTGGGAGGGTTAAAGGGGGTCGTCTTCCAGTTTTAGCTTCAGGGCGGTTCGTCTGTGAGAAGATTTTGATCGACTGACGCGGTTCTAGCTAGTCGTGGTTACACCGACGTTTCTGGAGTAGTATTAGAATCGAAGTCCTATCTGAATTGGCGCCTATCGTTGGGTGTCGGGTATTGCGTTGCGGTTTGTTTTACCAGTGGAGAGGATGGTGTTATTAACTGTGTTTTGTGTTTGTGTTTTGTTGGTGTTTTGTTGGTGTTTTTTTGATGTTTCTCATGTTTTAGCTGCTAGTTCTCCTCTTGTGAGAGTTGAAGTCTCCCTCGTTTATGGGGTTTTTTGGTCGGTAAATATAAATTTATATATCAAAACTGGTGTTTCAGCGACCAACAAATGGCATATAAATGAGTAGGGGGCACTCACAAGCTCGGCTCCTCACTCGCGTATGATAAGTCTAAGAGGATAAACACATGTCAGTTTCTTACTCAAGTCCCTAACCAAGGCAAAATATATAGAACATATGCGCGTCGTGGCGTGACGCCCAGTGCGACTGATGAAGATCGTGTATCTGCTCAACTCTATTTGCGTCGAAAGTTGCTTGCCACGACTTCCTTCTCGGCGATAAGTGTGGACGTCTCAGATTTCTCCTTATCATTTCACAGTTTTGAGACAGCTCGAGTGTTAATCCTTGCTAAACTCGAAGTTGTATGACAAATCTCTCATGAATTCTAATCACACGATATTGGTGAACAAACGTTCGATTTTTATTAACTTCTTTAATTATGAAATTGAATGAGTACATAAGTATTTATAGAAAAAACTAGATCTAATCCTATGAGAACTATAAATCTAATCTATGGAAAATATATTTAGTCCTAAGGAAACTCAATATCTATCCTAGATAATTAAATATCTAATATCCTAATAAATCAAAACTACTAACCTGCTAATGCAAAACTCACTAACTTACGCTACTAACTAAAAAAACTAACCTAACAAAACACTAACTAAACAAATATTACTAACTCACAACTACTAAACAAACAATTCATGCTAACACTATTTACTAATTAAACTATTTATGACTAATTAACTAATTAAATATGTAATAAAAATCAACAGAGGTTGGCTCAAGTGGTAAGCAGCTTGATGTCGCTTAAGCAAGGTCTCGGGTTCGAGTCTTTGTGGATGCAGAAAACCTTTGTTGGGAGACTCACCCACCATTGCTAGGTGTGCGACCCGGGTCGCCAAACGGATTAGTCGGGGCATAGCTCCGGATACCGTGGCTGGCTACCAAAAAAAATTATGTAATAAATCTATTTAATAATCTTCTAGAATCTTGGACTTGAATTTTCTAAAAGCTTCTCGTCCATTGCTCCTCAAGTCACGCCTACCTTTCTTGCGTCCCAAGTAGCTCGTACGTGATCTTCCGGCGTACGTCCTTGTATTCGAGCTCTTGCTCATCTTTTCTGCCAAGCGCACACTTTTTCGCCCCTTCGTGCGGCCTCACCCCATCTCTTCAGCTCTCGTCCCTTCTCTTCCATGGATATCGAAATCTCCATTCTCATCAGCGACGCCCGTCTCGGACTGACCTGACACCTGGGCGCAAAAATGCCAACAACCCCAAATTCTCCTTGAAAAGGAAAAGCCTATGTTCCAACGACTTTCCTCTCCTACTTGGCAAGCACATTCAGATGCAACACAAAGATTGTACGACAAACATGAGTTTGGATCTTACACTAGACTCGGAGGTTAATATTCATTTTCTAAAATCAACATATTTCTCGCATTCCAAATGAAGTAAACTGTTGCTGCGAGTGCCGCTTTCTTCAGCTTGGTTTGCCAAAGCCCTCGAGCCTTATTTTTAGTTCATCTAAGAGCCCCTTTATGTGTCAATGGCATATGACGTAGACTAACCCAAGCACGAATCGCCCAAAATTTTTGAGCTAAATGGGCACTCGAAAAAAAGGTGACCCGATGATAAAGGGGTTGGCCCGTGCAAGCCCCTGTATTTTTTTTTTAATTAATCAATAACTTTTATACATATGATATGATCATGTACTTGGTCGACCGCCCAAAGGGCCCAAGAGAAGGCAAGAGCTAAAGCCTTTTTATGACCCATCATTAGTTAATTAAATAAAAGATGAATTTGCACCCCTTACTTTAAGTTGTGATATATATTACATTTATACATTCATTATATTCTTATTTATAAATATACTAAAACAGCATAAAATATTACACTTATACCTGAAACGTATAATGATGCAGATGTAACTGTTATTTACTCACCAAAAAAGCGGAACAAATAACCTCTCTCTCTCTCTCTCTCTTTCTCCTATCATCTCTCTCCGTAAACCTATCCACCGCCCCATATTCACCCATACTTTTTCAATGTCTCAAAAATTGATTTTTCTTCAATTTTATTTGAATCACAAGACCATGAAACAACCAATCAATCCCCCCCCCCTCACTTTGTCCTTCTCGCCTAGACCACAAAATCGACGCACGATATGAATAAAATTTGAAAGAACACGACACCTCTCGGAATAAATTGATGAAACATGGCGGCGGATTTCGACGCAGGGTACCTGACGTCCTTTAACGGCGACGGCCGAAAACGTCTGAGAGGCCCGTGACGAAGGAAGGCGGAAGGCAAACGACGGACGATTGGCAAGCGTCGATAGATAACCCGATCTGTCGAGAACTGGCAATTGCTGTAAATGCGTGGCGGCCTGCAGTCTTCTGGTATTTATTGTATGATTGGGTATATAACTTGGCAGTTTGATCTGAAAGGAGAGCTGGTGGTTTTTAAATGAGAGTTGAATCCTAATCGAGGTAGATAACTTGACGGTTTGAAGAGTCGCGATTTCGAGATTATGTCTGGTCGGCTTGCCATGGTAAAATGAATCCTTGTTTTTCGTTTTCTTTTTTCGATCTGAGAGTTGAAAGGATAAAAAAGATGGAATATTTTAGGGTTTTTTTTTAAGGATTTTGTACTTCGAATCATTGTTTACGAAGCACCTTAATTCTTTCCAAAAAAAAAAAAAAACAAATGTTACACTCTTTTTATTGAACACATGAAAAAGGACATACAATTGCTATAAAATTGAACATGCAACTGATTTTCTAATGCAAAAGTGTTCTCTTTTACCCTTTTTTTTCAAACGACTAAATTTTTTTGTTTTGTTGTTATTATGCACTTTTCAGATTGTGTTTGCTGCAACAGTTGGAGTGGAGATTGTGACATCGTTGCCGACGTGGTTGTCGTTGACGTCGTTGAACTCGAAGTTCCACCGGCGTTCTCGTCGAGGGTTGCGGCGTCGCCATGGTTGGGGGAGATGGTTGGTTGAGTGTGGAAAAATCGATGTCTGGTTTTTCATTATACAAATTAGTGTATAATCAGTATATGTACGTTATATGTATAGTATATGCACATCTTAGGGATATGTGCAGTTATTGTACATATCAGTTTATGTTTGGTATATTAGTTATATTATCATTTAACAGTTGGTATATAATATGTATATTTCAAGTAAAATCACTATCATTGTGTCCAACTCATTTCCACTTTGTCATATTTTTTCTGTTTTTTTTTTTTTCCTTCCCAAGTCTATGGCTAGTTGATTTAAAGTATATGAGATATTTTATTCCATGTGTAGACACATTTGTGTATTAGTCTTATCTCAAGTATATTGAAATTTTTACTCTCTGTCAAGTTATGCTAAGTAGTGTTAGATTTATATCAAGTTTATGCTAAGTAGGTGTTGGTTTTATATCAAGTATATGATAAATATATGACAGTGTGA